ATCAGTACAGTACAGTTACAACAGACTGTGTAAGGCAAACCGGGACGGTACACCAAAAGAATCAGCCCCTTTTGGCTTCTAGCGGGATTAGAATTGAACAGATATCATGCACGATGAAAATAGTTCTTTGATCTCCAGGCAATGCAATATTGCTTAACAAAGAATATATGGTTTGATAAATTGGCGTGACAATCTTTAGGATCAGAGTTTATCTTAACTAGGAATGAGGAGAGGGGGGGGGTTGAACTCAGTTCCCCTAATTTTTCTAGTTCTCGTGGTCTGGTTTTCTAGTTCTCGTGGTCTGGTTTTCAGGTTTTAAATCTTACTCTCTTGATATCATTCATTCATACTTTTTATGGGAGTCCAGTTAGCTTATAGTGAATTGGTTCATTTAGCTTGGACTCCTTGGACACAAGTTTCCCGGAATTGCCGAGTGAAGTTAGGTTGACATAATCCAAGTTTACGGGCATAGTGCCGATATATGTAAATACACTAGGGGACACCAACATTACATTTGTATAGTCAAACAGAACATGTAAAATCTATTCAAAATTAGATAAATTCTTCATTAAAACATATTTTATCCAAGAAATACATGAAAGAAAATCGCTGTCATATTGCTGTTGAAAATTAGGAATAATTCAATAATAATATCGAAATAAACTTAAATATTCTCGCCAAATTAAAAAATATATTTTTGTCGAAAACTTTCATGTTGAAAAAATTTAGATGGTTTTTATTATTATTATTTTGGATATCTGATTTTGTGTCCGAATAAATGGTGATATTAATTTGGTTAATATAATTTTTGCAAAAAAATGTTAGGTCGAAAAATTATTAATTCTGGTTATATCTTATGTGTTAGTCCGTGTACTCAAAACCAAGAATGTCTTTTTTAGCCATTAGATAGTTCTCTAATCCAGCATGCTTTCCGGAAATTCCAAATAAAACAAAAAATGCGATTTAAGATTTCAAAATACTTCAAATAAAAATTTAAAGAATTTCTAATATTGATGAATAAATTCGTTACTATGTTTTATATACTAAACTAAACACATCCTGGAAAAAACTATGGAAGATCTTTCTGCGCTACCCTATGAAACAGATAATTTTGCATACCGATAGATAGATACTTAGAGACGGAGATAGATAGATATTCTGTCTACTATTTGACCATGTTCTCATGTGAGTAAACTTTAGTCCTGTGAAAGGTTGCTGATTGAGTTTTGTGCACTGAGATCTGTATCTTTGTATTGTAAACCTGATTACACTACTCCTGTATCCCCCCCCCTCATTCTGTTTCCATCCCCTCCGCCTTCTGTATCTCTCTCTCCTCCTGTATCATTCCTCTTCTTCTGTATCCATACCCACCTCCTTCTGCTTCTCCTGTACCCCTACCCACCTCCTTCTGTATCCTTCCGTCTTGTACCCCCCTCCCTCCCAACTTTAATCAAACCCCTGTGTATCCATTTCACATTTAAATTCACATTTTATTCCCGTTTAGAGACATTTTGTGGGAACCCTGTTCGGTTTGGGTTTGAGCATTGTCCTTTTTTCTGACCACAATAAAACATTAATTGACTGGTGAGGGTTGAGGTTAGGACTGCAGCTCCAGGTCCCATTGTACACTGCCGTGTGTCCGGAGCACGGTTCAAGATCGGAGAATAGAAGAATGATTTATCGACTGATTCCAGGACTGATATCAAAGAGCGTGTTTTAATGATAGAATTATCCTAGCTCCAGGATACTCCCTCAACCCTATAAACAATCCCATTCAAGGCAGATCTGAAAATAAATAACAAATTCCATCCTCTTGAAAACAATAATCGGACAAGGTTCGATTTTAAATCCATATTTTGGATTCTATATAAAGGATTGTATAATAACTGTATTGATTGGATGGATCTGAATACAGATTGAACTCCAGATATAGAAATAGTTTTTAGGATAATATTCTTTACAAGTATATACTCCAGATCTATGATGAACTCTATACAAATATTTTATATCAATATTTAGTAAAATACCCCCCCCCCGCCCCCCCCCGTCCATTTATCAGTCCAAATAATCCTTAATCCTTTTCTTTCTATGGATCATTATAGTTTCTTTGATAATGTTTAATACTATTTTCCGGAAAACTATTTTCTGTTAATGATGGAAGATGTTTTTATAGATATTTTTGTGGAACTTTGAATGAGATTATAATGGTTTTGATTTCAAAAGTTGAGAAAGAAGAGAAGTGGTTTTATCATGTAAAAACATGTTAATTGTAAACTCGACCCGTAATGGATAGAATATCAATATTAAATCAATTTTGGGAAATCCCTGAAAAAGTCTTTCTCTTTAAAACCTTGCTAAAGACTTGTAACCTTAATTTTTAAGGAACAAATTATGGTTTCTATGAGAATTAGAATGATTTTTTGACATTCAATCTTAGATAAAAACCAATGTAATTAAAAGTATTCTATATAAACATTGATAACACGTCTTTTTATTTCTATAAAAGCTGTTTTCATCTTATAATGAATTTTTTATGCATTATTGTCCTGAATTTCCTTCCCTGGAAGGGAAGTTATTTTTCGGTTTTTTATCAAAAACTAGCTAAAATTGCCGCTAAATCACTTATTATACCATATTTGAAGTCATTTTGCATCACTTACCAAGGATTGTTATCTTTAATTTCCAGTCATTTTGTCATTTTTGCCACATTTTTTAAACAGGGCTAGGGTTTTCCCCCAAAGTGTCGACCAAAACATCAGGTTTTTTTAACAGCTGGACGCACCCCGCGGAAAGTTCAAAGAAGCTTGCTACGCCGGGGGGGGGGGGGGGGTGCGCCCCCCTTGCGGAGAAATTTTTTTGTATTTTGGTTGTACAATGGAGTGTTTTGGTGCCCTAAAAAGGTGAAAAACCAGGTCCCCTCTAAGATTTTTTGAAATTTTTAAAGCTTTTTAGATGGGTGCAAAACATGATATTGATTAATTAAGGAAAAACATATGATACTTTTCCTCAAAAATAAGGTTTTTATAGTTTCCTGTGGGAGCTAAAACTAGCAGATCCAAAATAATGATAATTAATTTGTAAAAAATCTTGTTTGACACTAAGCTGTCTATAACTCCAAACAGTTAATGCCTGCGCTACAGTAAAGGTTCTTAAAAATTCTTTGAACTCTCTTCTATTATAACTTAAACTACAATTGGGAAATGAGACGCAGTTCTCAGTATAAAGGAAATATTTGAAACTTTTCTAATATATCTAATATCTCTTCTCCAAAGGCAAATTTTTAACATTTTTGGGGAAATCATGGTTTTTTCTTCCCTTAAGCAACTAGGAAATGTAATAATATCACCATTCAGAAATAAAGGGAAAGAAATAAAGAAATATCTGTTGAACTTTCTTCCCCAGACTCATAGAGTTAATACAGTGTTATTATTATGTTTCTTCTTCTTTTATTACATTTTTTCTTCTCTTTTCTTCCCCTTTTTTCTCTTTTCTCTCTTTTTNGTTAAAAGTAAGAATATACTCCCCCCTGTGTTAAAAGGAAGAATAAACTCCCCTGTATAACAATTCATTTTTGCACAATTTATGTATAATCTCACTATTAAAATCGAATTAGCAGAAAAAAAACATTTTAGAGATATTTTTCGATACGAGAAAAAAACTTAAACATGGATTTACAAAGACACAAAAATCGCAAAAAAATGTTATTGTTAATTAGAACATTCCAAAAACTAGTAAAAATAGTAATTATGAAAGTTTACGAGTGTTGACTGTTGAAAGGAATGCCAGGAGTAAGATATATTTAAAGAATATGTGAACACATATATTTACAATATTTCTCCTCCTGCATTCCATAGCTAGGGGAGTCCAGTTAGCTTATAGTGAATTGGTTCATTTAGCTTGGACTCCTTGGACACAAGTTTCCCGGATTTCTCGCAATATTGGAGAAACCAGTGTCAGGTGTTTAATGTTGGCAGGGAGGAGGGGGGAAGGGGTGTAGGGAATATAATACAGGTGGATGGATGGGGGGGGGGGGGGGTCAGTGTTTTAAGAAATTGGAAAATTGTCCGGGTTGAATTGATGTTGTCTCCTGGAGAGGTTGGAATGTGAACATAATGACACCAGTGGTAGAGGTATACCTAGAGATACGTGGGAAAACAATAAAAAACTAAAAAAACTGAAATCTATTTCTAGGTCTTGCTGAACCTTTCGGTCTAGTTCTAGTTCTAGCTCTTGCTGAACCTTTCGGTCTAGTTCTAGTTCTAGCTCTTGCTAAACCTAAAGGTTTAGTTTTAGTTCTAACTCTTTCTGAACCTTTCGGTCTAGTTCTAGCTCTTGCTGAACCTTTAGGTTTAGACCTAGTTCTAGCTCTTGCTAAACCTTTAGGTCTAGTTATAGTTCTAGCTCTAGCTGAATCTTTAGGTTTAGATCTAGTTCTAGCTCTTGCTGAACCTTTCGGTCTTGTTCTAGCTCCTGCTGAACCTTTAGGTTTATATCTAGATCTAGCTCTTGCTGAAATTTTAGGTCTAGTTCTAGTTCTATTTCTTGCTGAACCTTTAGGCATAGTTGTAGTTCTAGCTCTTGCTGAATCTTTAGGTTTAGTTCTAGTTCTAGCTCTTGCTAACCCTATAGGATTAGATCTAGTTCTAACTCTTGCTGAACCTTTAGATATAGTACTAGGTCTAGCTCTTGCTGAACCTTTCGGTCTAGTTCTAGTTCCAGCTCTAGCTCTAGTTTTAGCTTTGGTATTTATTTAGAATCTTGCTTTAGCCCTATATATTATGGTTTATATTTAGAATATTGCTTTAGTCCTATATATTATGGTTTATATTTAGAATATTGCTTTAGCCCTATATATTATATATTCTGACTTAAATATAAAAGATTACTTTTCTACTCCCAATATATTTTCCACATATTAGGTACACAATAAACTTTATCCTCCTCTTTCATATTTATAAATCCCCCCTCCTCAGTTCATATCCCCCCCCCCTGGATGTATGATGGAACGAAGGTTATCATATAAACCCGGAAGTGAGTAAGTGAGTAGGAAGTTAGAAAGGAAGTGGGATCATCTAGGACTGATGAGAGAAAACCTTTCTTTCAAAGCATATACTGCGTATTGTGCAGTTGGAGCCATGTTATTCAGTTCTATCGTTCTTCTCTAGTTCTCTTGTTCTACTGTGTTCATTGTTCTACTGATCTACTTTGTTCCTTGTTTTCCTACTTTTCAGTTCTCCGAGCCTTCTTAGCTCTCAGAATTAATCTTTTCCTGTAAGTTTTCCTGATCTTTAAATATCTCTTTCTTTCCTATTTTATTTCTTTTAGTTCTTCTAGTTCTCCTAGTCCTACTAGCTCTCATGCTACTTCTCTTAGTTCCCCTAAATCTCCTAGTCTTCCTACTTCTCTCAGTTCCCCTAATTCTTCTAGTTCTCTTAGTCCTACTAGCTCTCATACTACTTCTCATAGTTCCCCTAAATCTCCTAGTTCTCCTAGTCTTCCTACTTCTCTCAGTTCCCCTAATTCTTCTAGTTCTCCTAGTTCTCCTAGTCTTCCTACTTCTCTCAGTTCCCCTAATTCTTCTAGTTCTCCTAGTTCTCCTAGTCTTCCTACTTCTCTCAGTTCCCCTAATTCTTCTAGTTCTCCTAGTTCTCCTAGTCTTCCTACTTCTCTCAGTTCCCCTAATTTTTCTAGTTCTCGTGGTCTGGTTTTCTAGTTCTCGTGGTCTGGTTTTCAGGTTTTAAATCTTACTCTCTTGATATCATTCATTCATACTTTTTATATTAAATAATCTAACAGAGGTCCATGGACTGAACTGTGTTCAGATTGTAATGAGGCATTAAACTATCATCTCTGGAATTCTATGATCTTGTAAATGAACTAATCGTGTTTATCCTTGTGCAATGGGCCCTGGAATTAATAAAAATAAACTTCAAATTTGAATTTCAATCCTGTTTAGTAACTCTGGGTTTGAAAACAATTTCTATTATGTGCAACGCAAAAATGACGATAATTAAATGTTAATTATTGATCTAGTCTTGACTAGTCATAAGAAAACTAAGAGTACTGAGTAACTCAATTATTATTTCTGATAACTCAGGGCCCTTAGTCCCTAAGGCCTATTCGGAGAGTCAGGGTTAGATTGAGGCGTGAGAAAGATGCTCCTAGAGTATCCCTGAGTACACCTGATCTTCACACCTGCTCAGGGTGGTGGGAAGAGTAGGGAAGGGTTTGCTCCAGGTGGTGGGAAAGGTAAAGAAAGGTCAACTCATTACATCTAGCTCATCACATGTATTGTTTCAGTCCTTGATTACTGCTGTGATACCTTCATTCCCTTGATATAGATTAGCTAGACCACCCGGAGTAAAACCTAGATAAATCTCAAAATTTACTTACAGACAACAAAATTGATTTTTTCAAGACCTTACTATTTATACTTACAAAAATGATTCTAAAATTCCCCTAGGATCTTTCATAGAACACGATTTAGGAAAGCAAGCCCTAGGTTTTAAAACCTCTGTAATTCTTGGTTAATAAAATTAAAAGTTTCAGTTCGTAAAAGTGTAATAGCGTATACATATGTTTTATAACTCTGTTGAAATGAAAGAATTTGACAATTCTGAAATGAAAAGTTTAAGTTTTTTCAATTTTGGTCAGAGTGTACCAAAAATTTCTTTCTTACAGTACAAATACATGGAAAACAATACTAGTCCATTTGCACAGTACACGTACATGGAGAACAATACTAGTCCATTTGCACAGTACAAGTACATGGAGAACAATACTAGTCCATTTGCACAGTACAAGTACATGGAGAACAATACTAGTCCATTTGACCTCCCTTGCCCTTTATTCCCTTTCCCTTTCTCCTTTCCCTCTCATTGCTCCTTAGCCATTCCCTTTTCCCCCTTCCAACCCCCCGATTTTACCCCTCACGCCTATCTTTCCGCTCCTCCTGGGGCCATTTTTATTCTATAGTCATATTTTGTATGTATCATTGTAGATATTTCTTAGATTTGGTTCAACCCACAATGGGAGATAAATATGGGTTCAACATATAACATATTTCAAATACAAGATTTGAATTTTACAAATCCTCTTTCTTAGAGGAGAATAAACGAGATAGGAAACAAGGGTGCTCACAAAAGCAAAAAGGGGGAACAATAAATCTATAAGAACTAGGCGAACTATGAGAACTATGAGAACCATGAGAACTAGGAGAACAAGGAGAACAAGGAGAACTAGGAAAACTAGGAGAACTAGGAGAACTAGGAGAACTAGGAAAACTAGAAGAACTAGGAGAACTAGGAGAATTATGAGAACTATGAGAACGAGGAGAACTAGGAGATGAGAACTATGAGAAATATGAGAACTATGAGAATTAGGAGAACTGGGAGAACTAGGCGAACTATGAGAACTATGAGAACTATGAGAATTAGGAGAACTGAGAGAACTAGGCGGACTATGAGAACTATGAGAACTATGAGAACTATGAGAACTATGAGAATTAGGACAACTGGGAGAACTAGGCGTACTATAAGAACTATGAGAACTATGAGAATTAGGACAACTGGGAGAACTAGGAGAATTATGAGAACTATGAGAACTATGAGAACTGGGAGAACTAGGCGAACTATGAGAGCTAGGAGAACCATGAGAACTAGGAAAACTAGGAGAACTAGGAGAATTAGGAGAACTAGGAGAACTAGGAGAACTAGGAGAACCATGAGAACTAGGAGAACTAGGAGAACTAGGGAAACTAAGAGAACTAGAAGAACTAGAAGAACTAAGAGAACTGGGAGAACTAGGAGAACTATGTAAACAAAAGGAGAACGAACTATGGAACTGAAAAAAAACAGATGAATTACAAGAATTTAGAGATCTAGCTGAGAAGGACAGCAAGGATGGAAGATGTTTAAAGTATCTTAGCAAAAAAAGCAGGTTTATTCTCACGAGATATCCTGAAACCATCTTAAACTTAAACCTATTCTGGGAGAACCTGAGCTGAGAACAAATCTTGGTTTAGATGTAAATATATCCAAATTGGTCCATTTACTGATTTTCGTGGGAAAAGGAGTTTTAAAACTTTAAGCATTCCAAATCTAATTGGGTTTGCATACAGTTCATTCTAGGGGACAAACAGTTCATTCCGGGGGACATATAATACCCACAGACCACAGAAATAGACATGGTCATATGATATCCACAGACCATAGGCGTAGACATATTATACCCACAGACCAGGCATAGACAAATCATACCTACACTCCATTGACATCAACATATTATACCAACAGACCATAGACATAGACATATTATACCCACATACCATAGACATAGACGATATCCACAGACCGTAGACATAGACTATACCACAGACTATAGACATAGACAAATTATACCCACAATCCATAGACATCAACATATTATACCCACAGACAATAGACATGGACTATACCCACAGACCATAGAAATAGACATATTATAATTACAGACCATAGACATAGACGATATCCACAGACCGTAGACATAGACTATACCACATACTATAGACATAGACAAATTTTACCCACAATCCATAGACATCAACATATTATACCCACAGACCATAGACATAGACATATTATACCCACAGACCAAAGACAGAGACTAAACCCACAGACCATAGACATAGACATATTATGTTCATTAGACTATAGACATAGACATACTATACCCTCAGTCCATAGAAATACCCATATTATACCCACAGACCATAGACATAGACAAATTATTCCCACAATCGATAGACATCAACATATTATACCCACAGACCATAGACAAAGACATATTATACCCACAGACCATAAAAATAGACAAATCATACACACAGACCATAGACATAGACACTTATACCCACAGACCATAGACATGGACATATTATACCCACAGAACATTGACATAGACATATAATACCCACAGACCATAGATATAGACAGATATTACCCACAGACCACAGACATAGAAACTTATACCCACAGACGTTAGACATAGACATATTATACCCACGTACCATAGTCAAAGACATATTAAACTCACAGACCATATACATAGACATATTATACTCCGAGACCACAGACATAGACATTTAATACTCACAGATCAGAGACATAGCCATTTTATACCTGCAGAAAAAGACATAATGCATATTATTCATAGACATGTCATACCCGATACCCACAGACCATCGTCATAGAAATATATTATCCACTGATCGACCATAGACATATTATACCTCGAGACCTTAGACTTAGACATATGATACCCACCGAATTTAAGCATAGACATATTACACCCACAGACTTAGACATTATACCCACAGATCATAAACATAGACATATACCTAAAGAACTTAGATATAAACATATTATACCCAGAGACATTAGACACATACATATTTTACCTACATAGACATACATACAGAGACCTATAGACATATAGACCACAGACAAAGGAATATAAAACCATAAACATGGACATAATATACTAAATATACTTTCTGCATAGACAACATTAAACATGTACAATGAACGATGAATACACATCATTAACCATGTAAAGTCAATAAAAAGAATTGTGATTTGAATTACATATATATTTTATTTAAGGAGATCAAACTAAAGAGTAAATATATTGCACTAAAAGTATTTTTGAACATAATAATAAGAAACACGAAATTCACTGGTCACATTTTTAACAGTTTAAGAATTCGAAATGAATTATTTTTTAATTCTCTTAAATTCTGAAAAAGATCTGAAGAGATTTCTTTAAACCCTCCAATTCATAGAAAATTGTTAAGAGGGATAAAAAAACCTCCCCCGGGTTGGATTTTTTCACAACAGGGTGTCCGATGAAAAAACTTCTAGTTAGCGTGAAATATTCATAGTTTGAAACTTATGATTAAAACACAAACAGATTGTTAAAAGGCTTAAACTTAAAATGAAGGTTTTGTGCTCCTACTTTGACCATTGACACCCTGTATTTGGTCGTAATGAAATTTATCTGTGTACACCCTGTAGCATGGTTGAATAAACTCTAACGATGTGTTAAGAGCACCTCCACCCCTTGAGATATCCGTTCTTGATTCAAGATTCAAGATTCAAGATTCAAGATTCAAGATTCAAGATTCAAGATTCAAGATTCAAGATTCAAGATTCAAGATTCAAGATTCAAGATTCAAGATTCAAGATTCAAGATTCAAGATTCAAGATTCAAGATTCAAGATTCAAGATTCAAGATTCAAGGTTCAAGATTCAAGATTCTTGCACCCTGAAAAATGTAAAATTCCTGTTGTTTTTTTAAAGAAAAAAACCGAGCAGTGCAGAAAAAAGTTAGTGAAAACTTTTAAAATTGAATTGGAATATTTAAAAGTTTAGAAAAAACAACAACAACAATAATCCTTTTAAATAATTTTTGGGACACCCTGCAAGATAATCCTTTCCATTATTTTGGGGACACTCTGCAAGATTATAGTTTTCCATTATTCTTGGGACACCCTGCTAGATGTTATCACAGAATTAAAACTAAACATTTAATAAAGTTGATGAAGAGAGTTAGAAAGGAAAGGAGAAGGAGTGAGTTTAGGTGGAGGATGAGGATGAGGATGAGGAGGAGGATAGGAGTACAAACTAGACTGCCAATCCCCTGGAACCTTATACGGATCATCGTCCGTGAGAAAAGGACGAAAACTATCACTGGTTTTATACTCTGGGACGAGTAGAGAACCTGAGGTTGGGTTGGGTAGGCTGGTGTGAGGGTTGGGTTGAGAGAAAGGATGAGGAGAAGGACTATGAGATTCGTCACTAAATTCTGAAGCTGCCGCTTCAGCTTCATGTCCTTTTAAATGCTTACGAAGTGAGGACGGATGGGTGTAGGTCTTATCGCATCCTTTATAGCTGCAATAGTAGGGTTTATCCGTGGTATGAACATGCATATGTTTCTTCCTATCACTGGAGTTTGCAAATCTTCTGTCACAACCTTCAATCTCACACTCAAACGGTTTCTCGCCTGAAATAAGATGTAAATCATTAATTCTTATAAATTCATACATACATACATTCTTATACACTAAACTGTGATTTTTTATTCTAGTATTTTAGTATAAAACCTACCTGTATGTATTCTCTTATGTATCTTCAAGTTCTCAGATCGAGCGAAGAATTTTCCGCATCCAGGGAAAGGACATGGAAAGGGTTTCTCTCCGGTATGAACTCTGATATGATTCACTAGTTTATACTTGGCTTTAAAGGGTTTCTTTTCTCTAGGACAATTACTCCAGTAGCAAGTATTATCTGTAATTTCTGGACCCCCAACATGATCAACAGTGAGATGGGTTACAACATCATGCATTGTATGAAAAACTTTGTTGCACATTTTCTTTGTATCTTGATCAATCCATTCACAGTTCATCTCCTGTTTGACCGGCTGGCGCATATATCTGTAGTATGGAGACATGTAACCATATCCCATATTACTGTAATTGTAAGTTGAAGCTCCCATATCGTGTAAACTAAACGGATCATGTCCAGTAGCTGCAGCATGTAAACTAGAGGAGAACATGGAGTAGGACGGGTCGGAGCGAAAGAGAGAGGAGTAGGAGGAGGGTTGCATGTATGTCTGGGGGTACATCTGCCCCTCCATCTTAACTGCCATATCGGAGTAGGATCCAAGCATGCCCATGTACTGGGAGAGGATAAACTCAACTGGAGAGTTTCTCCGTCTTGCCGCCAGATCAGACTCAAACCTGCCGCCACTCAAACCTCGCAAAATCCCTTACACGAAAATATGGAGAAGGGGGGGGGGGTAGTATTGGAAAGGGGGAATATGAGGGGGATTTAAGTGCAAAACCTAAGTAACAGAAGACGGAAACTACGACGAGATAAGGAGTAAATAGGCAAGGAAAAGGGGAAACCTTGGATCAAGAAAAAAGAGGAAACCCAAGGAGGAGAGGGAGGAAACCCAGGGGGAGAAGGAACCCAGGGGGTCGAAGGAGGAAACCATGGGAGAGAAAGAAGAAACCCAAAGGAAAGAAGGAGGAAACCAAGGGAGGAGAGGGTGAAAACCTAGGAGAAAAAGGATCCCAGGGTGGAGAAGGAGGAAACCCAGGGTGGATAAGGAGGAAACCCAGGGAGAAAAGGGAGGAAACCCAGGGAAACAAAGGAAGAAACCCGGGGGTAAGAAGGGGGAAACCCAGGCAAACTCTGTTTTCCAAGTTTGGTTTCGTTTTGGTGTTCTTAACAAAGTTTCTGTCTCAGTGGAACACAACTTTTTCCGTTCCTAGACACAGAGATAAATACAGTTGAAACCCTGCAGGATACAAAACTTTTATTCATCCTGTCTCCAATCTCTTTTATCCCCTTCCTCCCTCTCTCATCCCGATTCATCCCTCTCCCCCCCCCCTCATTCCCAGTCCCAACCGTTATACAATATTATACATATATAACCTACTATTATAAACATTTTCACTTGTCTATCAAATTTCACTTCCTGGAGCTCTGACTATCTCCCTGTCTATCTGTAGCTCTGACTATCTCCCTATCCATCTGTAGCTCTGACTATCTCCCTATCTATCTGTAGCTCTGACTATATATCTCTCTATCTAAAGGGACTGTCAACGTAATATAAGAGTTCCCTATTCACAAATTCACAAAAGCCCTTTAAATATTTATCTGAATATCTATGAAGAATACAAAGTTTATCTATAAAAAGAGAAAAATTGTAACAATTTCCGTCAGTTTTAAAAGAGAATATATTGCAAAAAAAGACTTGGTGTGAATATGGCAAGTAACTTTTTTAATGAATGGTATCATTATTATTTTCAATTCCCATATATTCCCCCCCTTCCTTTACTAAGGGTTTATTATTCCCCCATCCCCCCTCCTTTACTAAAGGTTTATTATTCTCCTATATCCCCCCCTTCTTTACTAAAGGTTTATTATCCCCCTTTATCCCCCCCCCCTCTACTAAAGGTTTATTATTCCCCCCTCCCC